CGCCCTCGCCCCTCACGCCCCGCCCCGCCCCTCAGTGACACCCCGCAGGCGTTCTCTCTCCCTCCTCGCCTTTTCCTTCCGCTAAATAATTCACAAAGCAAACACAAGTCCTGCTGTCACGCAGCCCTCCGCAGGCCTGGGCCACGGGACACGCCGGATGTGTGCTCAGTGCTGGGGGGGCAGCAGGAAAAGGGGGAGGAGGAGCCCCAGGAGGCTGCGTGTGCGCCTGTGCGGACTGGGCGCCAGGCCCTGGTGTGCCAGGAAGGACTCGCGTGGGAGGGGCGGAGCCAGGCGGCTGCCATTCGGGGTTGGCTTTTGTTTGGCTGGATTCTTTGAACTTGAGGCCTGGTGCTTTCAAGGCAGACACTATACTGCGGAGCCACACCTCCAGCCCTTTTTCGACGGGTTTTCTTACCCATGCTGGGATGACAGGCATGGCCGCCGTGCCCAGCCTCTTCCGTGGAGATGGGCACCCTGACAGCATTACTCCAGGGCCGGCTTCACACCTCCCTCCTCCCCACCTCAGCTGGATGGCACGAGCCGTCAGCACTTGGCTTTTTTGCCCCCCCCTCCCCGCATTTTTGCGGCAGTCACGGGTTTTAAACTGGAGCCTCACACTTGCAATGTACTTGAGCCGTGCCTCCAGGGCCCACTGCTTTAGCTGTCACTCGGTCAGTCTTAGGCTTTCTGCCTGGGGCGGCCACTGCCTCCTGAGCACCTGGGAGGAGAGGCGCGCGCTGCTGGGCCCCACCGGCGTGGCATTGAAGCCGGCCGTGTGTCTCTGCAGGGTCCACTGCCAGCTGGTTCGCCTCTTTGCTCGAGGAATCGAGGAGACTCCTAAGCAAGAGTCACCGAGCTGAGGAGCCGCTCCCTGCCGCCCGGGAAGCTCAAAAATCAAGAAAGGACCACAGCTCAATTATGTTCAGACAGACATTGACATTTAGAAGTTTATTTTTGATAGTTAAATCTTGATTTTAGAAAAAAAATGCCTTTGTCAACAATCGTAAGTAGATACCTGGCATTCTGAGTTCTAGGAAATCTGCGTCCCGGCAGGCAGTCCCGCCGGCTTTGCGCATCTTCCGACGCCAGCAGTGAAGATTCCCAAGCAGCCCACGCGAGCCGCTATTGCAATAATTCCGGGACTTGGCAGGAACTGGGCTGCGGCGTGTGGACACGGGTGTCCACCGGCCACTTCGCAGTGATGTTTTCTGGAGCTGTTTGCAGCCAGGCTTTGGAAGCAGATGTTGATCTCCGCCTTCGCTGGACGCTCTTGCCGTCAGGAGGTCACTCCGATATCCTTCTGTGTGGCGTGCGCAGACAGCAGCACAGCGCTCCAGAGCATGTCCTCATGCCGAGTGTGCTGGAAATGGGCCACGTGGCCGTTAGGAACCAGCGAGCAGCTGGCACCCCGGCCGAGGGCCATGCTGAGGCTCTGTGCTTGCTCCCAACCCCAGCTCCAGCAGCGGGTGACAGGGTCTTCCCACCTCCGGCTGGGTTACTTTGGTGCACGTCTTGAGTCGTCTTGGACCATATTTGTTCTTCTCTTCATCCTGGGTTCTACATATTTATTGGAAGCTCTTTCCTGTCAATCAGAGGAGTGTGGGCGGGCGGTGTCCTGGCTGTTTGTTTTGTCTCTAGCAGAAGGGATGGTAGCTTCCGGTCTTGGCCCTGAGGCTAGAGACCAGGACTTCTGCTGGGCCCCGCACCCTTGTTTCCAGCCCAGTGTATATGGTAAGATTTACGTCAATTAGTCTCTGTGAAGTACAAGAATGTGCAGCTGAAACTTGATTTGCAAGGAGGCGCTGTTACAGGTGTGCTGAACGTGGGCCCTGGCAGAGGGCACGAGTGGATGCTGCGTTTGACCCGGGGCATTTATTCCCTAATCCCTTGTGTGGATTTCCATTAGAAGCTGATGGGAAATGTCCTCTTCATCCCTCAGTCCCTCCCAGACAGAAGGGCAGCCATAGAGGGCCTCATTCAAAGTAATGGAGGGTTCAGCAATGACTCCAGGTCTGTGCTGGCTTGGGGAGGGGTGGGGGCACGGGGATACCAGGGCCCAGGGCCAGGGCCAGGCAGCCCCGAGCAGCCTCCGCCTCATCCCACAGCGGCTCAGGCAGAGCCCACGCTGCCAGCCCTCCCCCCCCCCCCAGCTCCACCCAGAGGCCGGCAGTGAAAAGGGAAACCTGGAGCTGCGGCAGATGCAGCAGGTCTGGCGCCCTGAAGGGCCTCCGGCCTTTGCCCCGGGCAGGAGGCAGCCACTCACATTCCGGGCCCATTTCTTATGCAGCTACCCGGCCCCACACTGGGGGTTTGAAGATACCGGGACTGGTGTTAGATGGGGAACACGGGAGCCTTTGGAAGGGTTCGTCCATGTTTTAACTTCCTTTGTGGCTCACTGGTGCAAAATAGTCAGCCGCATTCATGCGTGGTAACTTATTCCTGTTTATTCGAGTGCGGAGGTGGCGAGGCCGCGAGCTGCCGCCTCCGCCCCGCCGCAGCCCCGTCGCTGGGAAGTGAAGGGCCCGTGCAGGGCGGCCTGGCCTCCTACTCTTGCTGGTTTCAAGACTAGAAAATGGTGTATTGCACCAGAGGTGTTTGAGAAGATAAAAATAAAGTTACTTTGGGCAGCAGGTGGCATTTTCTTTTATTTGCAAGTTCTCTTTCTCAAAGCAGAGTACTTTATTTATGAAAACACATGAGTGAAGTTTAAAAAACAAGACCAAGTGAGCAAAGGTGTAGCTGCACCTTGCTGAAAATGGATGGCACCCCAACCCCCACGCTCCCGTGGCCGCCTTCCCGACAGCCCCCCGTTTGCAAATCAGGGCATCACTTCCTGCTTTTCAGGGTTGGACAGCCTGGTTTGGAGGTTATGCTATTTGGGGAAAGAAACAGACCGTGTGTTCTCAGAAACTTCTTTCTGCTGGCGCGGTGGGTCTCCAGCTACACGTGAGGGTTGGGTGTGGGAAACTCCTCTGCCACCTCCAGAGCCGGGTTCCAGCGCCCCGCCCCCTCCCCCCTTCATGAGCGAGGAGCTGCCTCGCTGAGCAGTCAGGGAAGGATGGGCGCGCTGCAGAGGGGAGGGGAGGAGGTGGCTGGGGTGGTGGAAGCAGGGGTGCTCTAGGAAGGCTGTCTCTGAGGAAGTTCGTCTCTGTTGCGTTCCAGCACAATCGCTGCTGTCCAGCCATGGCTAGAGAAAGTAGGGGAGGAATGTGACCCGTGAGAGCAGGGAGAAGCTAGATGGACAGATGGACGAGTGGGAAGATAGGCGGTAGGATGTAAGGGGGGGTGGGCTGACAGGTGGATGGGTGGATGGATGGACGGAAGATGAATTCGGGACAGGTGGATGTGTGAGTACAGGGAGGTAAGGTGTGTAGATGGGCGGGGAGATTGATGGAAGATGGGTGTGCGGGGGTGAATGTAGATGGAAGGTAGATGAAGGGTGGGTAGACGGATGCTGGATGAGTAGGTGGGTTGGTGGAGTGTGAGTGGATGGAAGATGGACGGGGGGGGAGGGAGGGCGAGTAGATGGGAAAATGGATGAGTGGGGAGGTGAGCAAGTGATGGAAGGATGGGTGGGGAGAGTGGACGGATGGAACGTGGGTGAATGGGTGGGTGGATGGAGAGCAGATGAACAAAGGATGAATGGATGGTCAGATGGGTGGATGAGTGGGTAAGATGGATGGGAGACAGGCGGGTGAAAGATGGGGTAGAGAGGCTGAGTGAATGGGTGGACGGCAGATGGATGTGCCGATGGGTGGGTGGACGGATGGGATATGGAAATGCCCGGCTTCACGCAGCCACACTCAAGGTGCGCTGTCTCCAGACCCCTTCCTTGGGAGCCGGGCAGCCCCTGCCTGCTGGAGCTCACGGGCCCGGGGGATGAAGGGCGGTCAGCACCATTTGTTTTAGAAGCAGGGTCTTCTGCCCTGCTGGGATGTTGCCAGGGCCCATCTTCCCACAGGATGTACAGCTCGTGGGAGCCAGCACCTGCACCCTGTCTCTGCCTGGTCTCCACCCCCTCAGCCCTCCCCAGTGTCCTCTGGGACTCGGGGCCCACCTTCCGCTCGCAGCCCCTCCCCCGCCAGGCCCTGCTTCCCCCCAGTCCACCCCGGTGGCCTCCCCTCCTAGCCTGCTGCCCTGCCGCAGGAGCGAGGGGTGCGCAGGGACCGGGGCTGCCCAGCTGCTGGGCCACACACATCCAGAACCCTGCCAAGAACACGGTGGGCCTTGCCTTGGCACAAAGCATTTTAGGTTTATTTAAATAAAATTATAATGTATACAAGACTTTCTTTAAACAAGGTTTTCTTTAAAAAAATGTGACGGAGGCTTCTCCCATCCGTTCTTCATAGAGGACGACCCTTTACGCCAGCAACCATTACGTACAGCTCAAAATAGACTCAGGCTTCAGACATACAAAAGGTAACATTCAATCTACTTCGGTGACTAGTCATAGAAATTAAATACCCACCCAGACTTACGCCACCTGCGACAAAGCACGGTCTCCCTGGCAGGGGGCCCAGAGCCTGGGCCTGGCCCGCCCGCCCGCCCCGTGGGCTCCACACCAGGACCCGCTGGCAGTGTCGGCTTGGGCTGCCCTCGTCTCCCTGGCCGCCAAGGGCCACGCGGTGGGGCCCGGCCCCTGCCATGTGGTCAAGTCTTCATCTCCCTTTCTCTGTAAAAGGGCTCAAACTAAACCACTCTGCCTCTCTCTGCTCAGGCTCCCCTCCGGCCTGCGAGAGGCACTGCCGCGGCTCGGCACAGATCAGGGCTCACCCTGCCTCCCCACAGGTGCCTAGGGCTCCCACGGGTGCTCCTTCCCTGCCCCCGTGCACGGGAAGCTGTGGGTCCCCCCGCAGGGCTCCTCCTCCATGTACCAGGCTGCCGCTCCGCCCTGGCCCACGCCGTGCCTGTGTGGCGGGGAGCCTTCGCCCTCCAGGGTGGGGTGTGTGCTTGATCTAGCCGGTGGGTGTGTGCCCCCGTTCCCTCCCCCCAGCAGGAAGCCCTTGGGATGAAGGGGTCACCATCCAAGCCATCAGGCCTCACACCCAAACCAGCAAATGAGGATCGGAGCAAAGGTAAAAATTACATCTGAAAAATGATACAAAAATAAGAAAAACAGCTTGCTCTCTGTAAAAAATATAATCTGTTTCTTCAAAAAAAAAACAAAAACCACAATCTTAATGACGTCTGGAGGGCTCGGTGACCCACCCTGCAGGGGCCAGCGGTGCCGGTGTCCTGTTTTTGATGTCCCACACGGGCGTCCCGGAGGAAATGGCACCTCCGAGCTCCGGGCCGCATCCCGGGCAACGGCGTCCGCAGCGCTCGGCTGAGCACCGGGGCTTCCCTGGCGGAGCCGGCCACAAGAACAGAAATACTGTCAGATGTCAGGGTGGCCCCTAGGGTGGAGGGCGCTGCCAGGCTTTCCTGGGGCCCCACAGCCTGCCCGCCCCCGGCCTACCCCATCCATCAGCCAGACTCCAGCTGACTTCCACCTGAGAGCAACCAAAGGGCAGAGCACCCGAAGCCTTGCCGGCACGCTCCGGCCTTCCGAAGAGCCAAGTGCTGAAAAGATGTGCTTCTACCTGTAAGCCCTCCCTCTGCCGTATGTCGGCAAGATGCCCGGGGGGGTGGTGGGCCAGGACCGGACCCCCTGGGACCCGAGGGCCTCTCCTCACCAGCCCCCATGAGCCAAGCTCAGAACGCAAGGCTGTGCCCGACCCCGCCCGGCGCCAGCGCTGAGGGTCAGCGAGGCACCTGGGTCTCACTGAAGGCCGAGAGAGACCGCTGGCGGTTTTGGAGGCCATGGAGGGGCCTCCGTGCCCCCGCTCACCATCGCCAAACCCACAGGAGGGACCACAAACCACTCTGCTATGGCTTTGATGGGGACACACCTCTGGGGTCAGGAGAGCCTTTTCGGCTGGCACTGGGTCTGCGCCCAGGGCAGGGAGTGAACGAGGAGCCGTGCGGGGCTGGAGGCGGCGTCCTTCCGCAGGCCGCAAGGAGCCTTTGCCCACCCGTGTGGACTAAAGTGCTTCACCCCGGCGGGGCAGCCCGCCCCTCCCAGAGGGGGGCAGAACCCGGCCAACACGTAGAGGAACGGCAGGTCCAGGGGGATTATTGCAGAAGACCAGGTGGCGTGGGTCGGTTCCACTACCGCGCTGTCTGGAAGGGACCCGCGGCCTGTCAGGACTAGCTGTCGCCACCAGAGGCTGCCGCGGCTGTGATCTTCATGTACTGCCCGAAAATGGTCTCGAAGGCCTCATCTCTGTGCACCATGGCGCCGAACACCAGCGGCTGGTGGGAGGGAGCGTGTGCCTGAGCCCACTTCTGCCAGGCTGGACGAACAGAACTGGTGCCCATGCCCGAGCAGCCCTGCGGAGCCTGGGGACAAGAGCAGATGCCCCTGCCACCCACGACTTCCAGCCTCCGGAGACACAGGGCGAGGGGCGGGAGCCTGGGCTGCTGGCCCAGCGCCTCCCTCCCCGGATGGCATCGCCTGTGGCCCCCATCCGGCTGTGCTCTCTGGACCGCACTGAGGGGCTGCGGCAGGAGGGAGGCACCGGCCCAGCCGAAACTATACCAGGGATGCTCAGAGCCCACCCCAACCCCTAAGGAGCACCGGCCTGGCACTTACTTTCTGGGTGGATGGTGTCGAAACAGCGATGCCCATGCCAGAGCCCGGGAGGACGGACAGGACCTTGTACTGAAAGACAGTGTGGGCCGTGACCACAACCATCCCCCCCCCACGCCCCCAGGCACAGAGAAGACCTACACAACCCTCCTGATCTAGTCACTGAGCAGCAAACCAGTTAGTGGCCTGTCCCGCCAGCCCAGGCGGCCAGGGCAGCAGATCCCCGAGTCTGTGGCACAGGGGATCAGGCTGCTTTGGGTGGTTCTGGGCAACAGCGCAACAGCAAGCAACACACTACCCACAACACCCAACAATACACCCACAGTACTCCATGCCCCTGCACACAGTGTGAGCCAACAGCCCTGGGCTGCAGGTGGCAGTGGAGGGAAGCGAAGGCTGGGCACCCCACCACCAGCGCCCGGCGGGAGCCCGCGGCTCAGAGTCGCTGAGGCACACCCGGCCGAGCGCGCCTGCGGCTCACACCAGCCCGCCTCTGGGCCAGGAACAAAGTCTCCAGAAAAGCTGGTTAAGAAACTGCCCTCAGGATACAGTGTGCCCACTTTGAAGCCAGCATCTATGCCGGGAGTTTGGCAGCAGAGACGGAGGGGGCAGAACACCGTGGCAGAGCTGCCGCTGGGGCTCCAGACGCTTGGCCAGGCAGGCGGCCTCCCCGCCCCGCACGCACCTTGAGGGCCCAGCGCAGGGGCCGACCACCAGAGAGCGGGGAGGATCTGGGGTGTAGGCCGCGGTGAGGGACGAGTATGGGGAGTGGAGGATCTGGGGTGCGGGCCGAGGATTATTTGTATCTTTGACGGGGTTCTGCAGAGACTTCTAGGCGAGCTGTAACACTGGTGGTGGCCCCAGTGCTGTGAATCACCCAGTAAGCCCTCGCGCATCGTGACCGGTGAACATTGGGGGGAGGGCACCCACCTTCTGGATGTCGGTGATGTCCACCAGCTTGATCACTTTGTTCCTCTTCGACGACCCAGACCTGGAGCTTTCGAAGCACAAGTAACTAGATGGGGAGGGAACGCAGAGTCAGTGGGCGGCACCCAAGCCGGGGCTCCGGCTCAGGACCTCTGCCTCCACCGCCCTGTGGGGTGGGCAGTGACCCACCAAGCACAGCGCCTGGAAGAGAGCTGCAGACCTGCTCTGTGCGAGAGCTGGGGTTTGCTCCCATGGGCTCCCTGGAAGAGGTGAGGGGGCCCGGGGCTGGCCAGTGCTCTCCTGGGCTGGGTGCTTTGGCTGGGGGAACACAGGGAGCTCGGGGCCTTGACTGTGGCAGGCACTAGGGGACGGGCAGCCGGGGCCTTGCAAGCTGTCTGCACGGGGCGGGGGTGGGGGGGTGACGGGAGTCCCTGTCACGCATCCTTGTCTAGCAGAAAAGCCCAAGCCATCTTTGGGCTGATGCATCTTAAATGTCCTGGAGTGGGCCCTGACTTTCAGTAGGTCACTGTGTCTCCCCTTCCCAGGATGCTCTGCTGCTCACCCCCTTGACAGCCATGGTCACTGCATGGTCCCTGGGGCTCGAGAGGGTGGGTCAGAAGCAGGGTGTGGCCCTCCAGCCCACACAGCCAGGTGGAGCAGGACAGGGAGACCAGGCCCGGCACTGCTGGACCCAGCTGCCTGCCCAGGGCCTGGGAGACCAGGCCCGGCACTGCTGGACCCAGCTGCCTGCCCAGGGCCTGGGAGACCAGGCCCGGCACTGTTGGACCCAGTTGCCCACCCAGGGGCCTAGGAGACCAGGCCCAGCACCGCTGGACCCAGCCGCCCACCCAGGGGCCTAGGAGACCAGGCCCAGCACCGCTGGACCCAGCCGCCTACCCAGGGGCCTAGGAGACCAGGCCCGGCACCGCTGGACCCAGCCGCCTGCCCAGGGGCCTAGGAGACCAGGCCCAGCACTGCTGGACCCAGCCGCCCACCCAGGGCCGCCCAGCTGCCTGCCCAGGGCCCGGGAAGCCCTGCTGCGCCCCACTCACTTTTCCGTCACGTACAGAACCCCGTTCCTGATGTAGTCCGTGGGCATCTTGCGGTCTCGGTTTATCAGGCAGCAGCGCCAGCCGTTCTCACACACTAGGGGAGAGGGCCGGCCTGAAGCCCTCGGACGGGCATGCCCAGCCCGAGCCCACCTCAAGCTGGATTTAATCAGCGCTGATTTTTCCAAGACACATCGCAGCCTCCAGCGACCGTCCACTCATCCGTGCATGGGGAGGCAGACCCAGCGGCCAGAGGCAGCTCCGTGGTGGGGTACCACGCCAAGCAGGCAAGAGGCCCCGTCCCCAGGCCTGCACACACACCGCACACACACGCATGCGCACGCACACACACATGCACACACACACACACACACAGTCCACGCAGTCTATTGTGAGGCTTGGCCAGTGGAGTGAGGCAGTGTCAGGGAACACGCTTCCTCCTCGGGGGCGCGTGGGGCTGTGTGTGAGCGCCCGGCCAACCGTGAGGTGCAGCCCGCCGCCGCAGCCCTGGCCAGACGCACAGACGGGGGCTTTGGGCTCTCGTCCCCGCACCTGTACCTGCCGATCTGGGGCTCCACCTGGAAGACTGACCAGAGGTCAGCTCCACAGGCACCGGCTAATGGACACCTCTGGCTTGTCCACACAGACCTATGTGCCAGGACACATCCGGCCAGGGGCAACTTTGGGCCCCACCCCACGTTCCCCAACACTGACGTGGGCAGAGCTGAGCCTCACGCCTTGGCATCCGGGCCGCGCAGGGAATGGGGCCTCCTCTGGCGGAGGTGGCCCTGGCGCCCTGGCGCCCTGGCGCCCTGGCTCCCTGGCGCCCTGGCTCCCTGGCTCCCTGGCGCCCTGGCGCCCTGGCTCCCTGGCTCCCTGGCTCCCTGGCGCCCTGGCTCCCTGGCTCCCTGGCTCCCTGGCTCCCTGGCGCCCTGGCTCCCTGGCTCCCTGGCGCCCTGGCGCCCTGGCGCCCTGGCTCCCTGGCTCCCTGGTGCCCTGGCTCCCTGGCGCCCTGGCTCCCTGGCTCCCGCGCCACCTCCCTGGGAAGCAGATACGCGCTCCTTCGGCCCGCAGCCAGGGTGAGGTCACCCTCCAGGAGGGGCCGGGCCTGGGCCCCGCTCCCATCTCCTGTGTGCCTGTTCGGCTCCTGACTCGGCCCCCACGTACCGGCCAGAGGACGCTCGTTCTCCGTCAAGTTAAAGATTTCGTGGAAGTTGCCCTTCTTGGTGCTGTGGAAGCGGCCCACCTCTTCGTCTTTGCTCAGGCCGGCTGGCGCACTGGACACGCAGCTCCGTGATGAGGCCGTCTGCAGCTGCCAACGGCACCCAGGGCGCGGGTCAGGGTCTGGGGAGACGCAGCTGGCCATGTCGGGGTGCGGGGGGGGCACAGGGGCCTCCCTGCCCACACTAGCTGCAGGCCCCGACCAGCTCAGCAGCTTCCAGTCCACATGTGAGGGTGCAGCTCCCAAGGCCCCTTCCAGAGCCGGCCCTGGCCACACAATGCCCCACCCTCCCCAGCCCGAGGCTCCGGGCCAGGCCTGAGCCCCAGCACACTCTGGCCGAGGCCATGGCTGCCCGGCGCCGTGGTAACCACAACACAGCAAGGGCACCGCATCAGGTCACAGCAGCCGAAGGGTTCACACGACACTGTACCTTGTCATACCCTGACAGCTGGCCAGAAAGGAGACAACAGACATGTGACCACCACAGAAGGAAAGGGGTGCGCGTAGGACGTCTGAGCAGAGTGGAGCGGACACATGGGCCCGGAGGCTTTGGCCTCACCCTCGCTGCCCTGGCTCTCTACAGTGGCTTTGGCTAAGGGGTCTGAAGACCCAGGGAAACCCCTGCCCCCATCACCCTGGGGCCTGTGGGTGGAGGGGGGCTTCCTCAGGGCTGAGACCCACACACCTGCCACAGCGGAGCCCTGGGGCGGGAGGGGCTCCTCTCAGGGCTAGCGGCCCCAGCATGGGACAGGAGGGACGCCTGGAAGCCACAGGGCCAGGATGGGAAAATCTCCAATGTCCACTGTCCTGAGGACCCCCTAATCTGCCAACATCACCTTCCCCAGGGGCAGAGGTGAGCAGAGGACT